ACTGCGCTTTAGGGTGAGGTGTGTAACCACTGCGCTCTTAGGGTGAGGTGTGTAACCACTGCGCTCTTAGAGTGAGGTGTGTAATCACTGCGCTTTAGGGTGAGGTGTGTAACCACTGCGCTCTTAGGGTGAGGTGTGTAACCACTGCGCTCTTAGAGTGAGGTGTGTAATCACTGCGCTTTAGGGTGAGGTGTGTAACCACTGCGCTCTTAGGGTGAGGTCTGTAACCACTGTGCTCTTAGGCCCACTGGTTCTCATTAAAAAATAAATACAAATAAAATAAACAAAAACTCTTTGCAAGACAACCTTGAGCCACTGCACATTTCATTTCAATTAGCTATGCTTTAAGACGCTCCCTCCTAGCTCTCGGAAGCAATACCATTGAAAATTAACACTGAATAAGTAAAGGAGCACATACTGTATGCTAAAGTGAAATATCTTTGTTTTTTTGGTGTAGTAATTTATTAATTTAGTCATATAGGTTTTGCTTTTTTTCTGGTCCTTTCTCCTGTAATGTTGGCTAACAGGGTAACGTACCTCTGTAATCTCCCAGAGAATATTTACAGTCTTAAGAACCTCGGTACAGGAAATGACTTTCTGCTTTGCCGGTCATTGTTTTTTTAATTTTTTAATGCGGAAGGAATAGTAGGTGACCACTGTCGAATTTTAATATCAGATTATTACTTTGTAATTATATGCTTGTCTAACATTTATTTTTTAATTTAGATTGCTGAATTTTATTTTCTGTTATGTTCTAAAACACCATTAGGATTTAATTTGACAGCCAGGGCTGCACTTCATTAATTAATTTATTTGGAAAAGCATTATCTGAGGAGTGTCTTACTCATCAGTGCCACACAGTATGACTCACTTTTATTGTATCTTCATAATATACTCAGCCTTAATGTTTGTTTGTCTTTTAATCTGCCAGGCCCCTTATTTCCTTCGGGTGCCTTTAAATTCCTTCTAGTTCATTAGCAGGGATATTTTCATGATCCAGTCATCATACCTTTTCCGCGTTTCAGCAATGCCTTAATCCACGTCTGCATACTTTACTGTAAATCCACCTCCTCTTCACATGGGAAGTTCATTATGTCGTCTAACAACCAGAGAGCACCTGCAAAACATAAATTCTGTCATGTACACTGTAGGAGTTCTGTCGCATCCATGGGACAGTTGGAGGCTGGCTTGAGTTCTTGAGTTCTGACGGTTTATTGCAAATAAGGGATACTTACTGCAAAGTCACTTCACAAATCCCAGTCTGCCTCAGAAGCCAGTGGCTCCAGTACGCTGGCGTCAGCAGAATGGGCTTCTCAGGATTTAAGTCCCCAGCTCGTTTACAAATGCACAGTAAACTGTTCTCCACTGATATTGCAGACTTGCATATTTTCATTTTTCTGGCCAAGAGACAATTTTTATTTAATCTAATTTTCTGCTTAGCGGTCGTGTGAAGTGACAGCAGGACGATGCCGCCGGCGGCGTCAGCTTTCGCGCGGCAGCGCCGTGGGAAGCGAAAGCGCTCGGGGACGTCATCCTAAGACGTTCGCTGCTGTGTTTTTACGTCAGTAATTAAAAGCAATCTCTGTCGCTGGCTTTATTTCACAGCATGTGAGCAACTATGAAAGGGACCTGTTGCACTGGCTTTTCTGATTTACTGACGATTAGGGTAAGCGCGGACATTTTGGGCATGCTCCTGCTCGGTGATGAAGACGTAGCTTCTTTTGCTCTCTGCGGGATACGTAAGAGACCCAAATTCATGTCACGGCGCTGTCGAAAGAGTCATTATTCCCCAAAACATACGACTGTACATATTGTAAGTCTTTCATGAAAATATCTTCAAAACCACTTAAGGGAATTTAAAAGGAAATTCCCGACTGGAATCCGGAATCTTTGCGATTCTGTGTCACCCCTTTGCATTTCATAATCACATTTCGGACTGAAGCGTATAAAATGGGCCAGACAAAGAGCGGGCTTGGCTGCCGAACAAACGGGGATTTGCACCTTTTAAAATAACACACTTCCACATGCTGACATTTTAATTGGTACTGATGTCCTTTTCTCTGTGGGACAGCATTTTGCAAGGTTTCCACGTTGGACAGCGGCGTTATTATATCCCGATTGCCAGTCTTTTAATGTGTGGCTGTCGACAACGAGAACCTATATCTGAGATCCGCTGTGTCCATTGGATACACACGAAGTGACCTATTACAGTAATAGCCGCTGTGAGTAGCTCCACCTGGCAATAACAACGATTTCTCATTGCATTTAGCGCCATTGCTAAAAATAACGCAGCATAGTTGGGTAAATCGTATAGATGGCGCCCCAGGATAAATTGCCTGTCAGATTGTTTAGTATGATACCTGTCAACAATTGTCTAACAGTGTATTATATTCTCAGATGGTTTTTCATTTCCTCCCCCCACACCACAATCCACCTGCCTGTGTTTTTATTGTATTTAGACTAGGGCATTCTCTACTTTAGTTGATGTACTCATGAATTCATCCCAAGGGTGGCTGGGAATTAGAGAATCTCTGATTTCACAGAGGGCCTGCGCACCATGGTTTCTGGAGACAGAGTGCCGATTACGCACATTTTTTACACTCCCCATTCTGGCATCTTCTCCCGTTGACACCTAATGCCACTCCATTTATTTAAACACCGTAAATCTTTAATCCGCGAACACGTTGCGCGAATGTCACGTGAGGCCTCACAGAAAAGACCTACAACTGAATATGCAACGTGCTGATAAATATTTCAACATCACGTTTCCACCGACGCCCTGTTGACTTGCCATTTGCCTCTAGCTGATCCTTGCAAGAATGAAACATGTTTTGCTTGCAATATTTATTCTTTAAAAACAGTAAGTGCCTCACAGCGTTGTAGCAGACGGGAAGCAGTAGTGCCCCAATTTTTTACCTCCCTCTGTAGGTGGAATGAGCGCTACAACCAATAGGGGCCCCAAACCACTAGGACCCTTTGTCACCACACCATTTCTTAAGCAGACTCCATTCATGTATACCCATCTATTCACAGCACAGTCTATCTTTCACAAATGTCAGGCAAAAGAATGAAAAGAATCCTTCTATTTATTAACTCCAGCATTAATTATATGTTGTCTCAAAGTCTTCACACTGATATTTATCAAGCAATCATACATTTTTTTTTTCTGGGATATCTAATGTGTATTTATGTGTTTTTTTTTTATTGTTTTCAAATAAACATTCGTACAACATGCACACATTTAATGCACATTAACTTGGTGATTTTTCATTAAGAAAATAATATTGTAAAGTGTGACGTGGACACTATTGTTCTTGCTGGAACAATAACTTTTTTTAAGCAACTGAGGTCAGTATCCCATGCTCATTCATCTTAAGCTTCTCATAAGAAAGTCAAGGACACGGGGGGGAATTGACATTGAACCGCGCTTTCTGCTGGCAAACGTAATTCCGCAGGTCGCAATATTGGTTGTCATGGAGTACAGGACTTTTTAGAAGCTGCAATCCTGTCATGAAGGCAGACATTACATAATTGTGAATAAAACATGCGGTGAAGTATAGTGTTAACCAGCACCACGTCGCTTTCCATCCTCTTTGCCTATATGAGGGAATTCATCAATAGAGCAATTGTTTGAGCTCCCGGCAGACCGGGGCCAGCTTGTAAAATTTATGAGCGGCAGTACAAACAGACAGGGGATGGATCGAAAGAGGGTCCCGCAGGCTGCAGGAAGAGGGTCGTTAGGAATAACAACACAATCAATCACGCCTCGCATGCCGTGCCGTTCCCAGCTTCATGCAGCACTGTTTTTGGAAGTGCACTCATGAACTTCTCATGTTATTATACCCTAGGAATGGTGTGCAGAAACCTCACAGGTCTCACTGAGCGTTCCGCCTTCACACGAGTATCCCAGAGGAACCTGCCGGTTCACAAAGGTGCACTCCCAGTCTTGAAGTTGGAAAATACCATTTTATGATGTTTTACCTGCACTTTTAGGATCCTTTGTCACTTTGAAGTTTTGTTTTATAGGAATCATCTGTAGCCTTTACATTTCTAGTCTAGACAGAACTTGGGAAATGGGAATGCATAACAATCATTCAGCACTTCAAACAGTCTCTTCTCTGAGGCGGTGAAATATTATTTTGACATGTGGGATACGCTTTTCGGTGTTGAGATTTAATTTCTATCGCACGGCGTTTGTATTTTATCAGTTACACACTTTGGTTGAAAAATTAAAAATAAGAACTTTAAAAATAAGAACAAGTCTTTCTACTTTTTCTTTTCATGCGTGTACTGAGTTCCACAGGAGTATTGCTCAGAAAATCATCCGGGGACGTGTCTCTGTGTGTTTTGCAAAGCTCGCTTTTGTGTACTTCCGACATGTGGGGTCCTTCCTTTCATGGAGCCAAAGCCAAACGGACTGAGGCTTAGCCTGCAGCATCATCCCAGTACATCCTACTCCTTATTTCCTGCCCTATTACTCACAGAACCGCGGAACAGTTCTTGGAAAGGAGTTGTAGAACTAAGACCACAATGTAGGCTAGAGAATTCATGTGGAAAAACTTTATTCGCCCACCCACAGTCAGGCGATAGAGCAGCTATTAATGAAATTAAGCATGTCTGTGACCTGAATGAGTCCATCAAAAGGAATCACACAGCTGGCTATTTTAGTTATGTTCTTGACCTCTCATTAGGAATTAATGCCTTAAACTGGGCATTGAATGTGGCGATCTAGCTGATGTTTGATTGCATATTATTCACTGGATATCTTGATCTCTTCAGACTTGATAATTTGCAGGATTGTCTAAATACGCACCCTCTGAAATACAGTTAAGAACTCCACTAATAAACTCTGCTGTGGACACAGTCCATTTGCTTGTCTTAATTGTGTGAACCAATTATAATGTTCGATCGTGTTATGGTTGAGGTACAATGTTCATCTCGGCAAACAAAAATATTTGTGTATTTTGCAGTCACACCATGTCCCTGTAATTGAGGGTTCATGAAAATGTATGAATTTTGCAGTGGATCAAGAAACAGAGACTGTGCCTAATTAGCGGAAGTGGAGCTGATAGGTTGCAGTGTAGAAGCACTGGATAAAGTCAATGGAAAGTTACAAATTGCACCAAGGAGCCTTTGTGCCGCCTCAGCTGAGGGCAGAACCAGCGACGTCCTATAAACTGCAGAAATACAGCAGCTCACTCCAACACCCAGTCTTTGTTATAAATACCAAGTGAAAGCTGTGACCCAGCCGGCCGTCCATTTGGGTTCGATCTTGCTGGCCCGTATGATTTCTGTTTACTGATCCCGACTCCCGCCTGTCCGACTTGGCAAACCTGATCCCGCTCTTCATGTCTGACCCCTGCCTCCTTCACCCCCGTCGCTCTTCTCAGCGCCGCCAACGCTCCGGCCCTCTTCCCAAGGTCTGCAAGGATTTCTCGCTCATCTGCCTACAGCTAAGGCCGGATGGCTGTCATTTTCCCTGAGGTTTAACCGAAGGAGATGGACAGTCGCTACGGGCTGAAAGCTGGACGCCTAGGGATTGAAAAATGGTTCAAATTGAGCTTAGTATATACAGCAAGTGGCACTAGACTGCTGAAATTAGTAACGATAAAGTGCTCTCTGATCATGGCTTAGGGCAGGCAGGGCAAAGTGCCAGAAATGGACACTCAATCTGTGAGAGAATACATTGTAGCAATTCACTGTACCATCAGTTGCCTGCTAATCTGAAGAGCATGGCTTGTGGGAAGCAAACAGAGGAAGAAAGGCACCTTACCCATAGATTACAGACCTGGGATATATGTTGGTGCCCCCCCCATCAGCTAACCTGCCATTCAGACATGTTCCTTGCCTGTATAAATATTTCTCGCTTATTCTCATGCATTATTAAAGTAATGAAGTATAGTTTTATTCCTTCAAGTAGATTTCCTTATTGACGGTGAATGTAACATTTTAACACTGCACAGAGATTTACTGTAGCATAAAAATAGCAAATTAGGATAGCCTGTAGGCATAAATTGATAACATGCTATAAAAATGTCTGTACGGAGATGCTCTCCAGTGAGGACGATATACAGCGTGGAGCGTGTAGTGCTCGTCTTCTCAAACAGTGTTCTTTCTGGACTGGCTGATTGTATGGAGAATAGTAAACCCATGTAAACAGAGGAGCTCCGACCTCCCAGGGCTGACGACAAGGGCAGTGATTAACACTCTCATTCATTCTCTTTGCATTCAGTGCCCAGACATCTCGCAACACTTTCCTGTACTTTGGTATTTGTAATGAATATATGTTGGACAAGGTAATACACTCCACAATTATAAATGTTAAATAGGCTCTTTAATACATGTTAAGTATCTGCACTTGCCACTGCTTGCTCATGCGATGAAATGCTTTGTATTGCTGCACATTCAACAATTCACAGGCAGCTCAATTAATTTATTTTGTACATATTTGCCAAACTAACAGAATAATACAGGATCTGAACCACAGACTCAGACTCCATACAGCACTGTTACAGGAATCACGGCGATTTGAGACACACACGCTTACAACCTTGTGTGTTGTTGCAGGCTGGCCCTGATGTTGTACCCTTGAACAAGAGGCCCTTTGTTTGATTTTTAAAAGGCTAGATTTAGAAGCTGCTTTAAGCAAACAAAACAACCACTAGCTCATGTGTTTGTCTGTAATTATGCATCAGTCAATTTTCTGAGTGTGGAAGTCTCCGATGCAGAATAGAAGATTACAAAAACAGCTCATTGCTTGCTATTATTTTCTTTATGATTTTTCAATAGATATGTTGGTCTCTCTCTTTATGAGAAAACAAATCTGCTTGTTTTTTTTTG